TCATTCATGATAAGTATATAATTTCATCTGTTATAGTTAACCCACTTTTTGTTCTAATGTTTTTCGACTTTTCAATAGTGGGCCTGTCAAACGTGAACCGTTATCAGTAATACTTACATATAAATCATGACAATTGTATTCGCTCGACTGTTTAATGTGCATTAAACATGGTCCAATATGTTCTCTTAAAATTGTTTCCGTTTTCCATCTTTGACCTCATTTTTATTGAGCTGTTATAAAATTTCGAAATGATACACGAAAAATTTTTTCCCATGGCTGGTAAAATACTTATTAGACACAACCTACCTGGCTTATAATTTTTTTTCATTTGTGACTTCGTCTCAACTGAATTGTAATGAAGTTCAAGGACGTTTCACAAACGAAATACATTATTCACTACAATCTTCACATGTGATCAATTCACATTCCCCTACCCCCTGTTGAATTTCGTTTTCGTTGTATTCTTATTAACTCTCACACCTCTGGTCAAATAGACCAATCACATCATAGGGAATTAGCAGACAAGTATGTAGCCGTCACACTACATACTCTGTGTGAAACCTACTCTTTGCTGATTGGTTGGTTTCAACATGCTATGTCGAGAGAGAGAGAATGCTTTTTTTCAGCATTACTCGGAGCATTTAGGCATGCAGTGCTTATTTTCAGCATTGAAGGCATTATTTCAGATGCTGATCTTTTTTTTAAGATTTTGTCGCATTAATTCAGCACCCAGCTCTCTTTTTAAGCACGACCAGCGTTATTTAAGAACATAGTGGGTAGAAAAAATTTTCATTTACCATAAAAAGGCATTATTGACGCATAGGTTAGAATAAGTTTAGAATTTTCAAGTATGATGAAATCCTCCACGCAAGTTTAGAATTGTTGTAAGCTTGGGAAGTATGCTAATTTCTTCGCCATTGTAATATTCGCTGAAGGAAAACTCGAGGGTCTCATGAAAACAACTTCCTGACCCTACTTCACTGATAAGTCCATGTGGATATTGCCATAAAATCGGGGTTGACTTCTCGTGGGATAGAACTTATTTCGAGATCTGTTGGAAATTTTTGAGGACATTTCGGAGCCTAATGGAAAAAGCCGAAATTCCAATGCGTTTCATCAGAAAAATTGTAGTTATTTACTTCGAAATTCCTTCAAAAGTTTTTGTTTCGGTAGTTACTAGTCTGGGCAAGAAGTCGACGATTAAATATGTTAGTGATTGCAGAAACCTGCAGTCTAAACCGTTTCCTATTCGGTGTGCATATATTTATTGACCCTTCAGTTGGAAAACGCATAGCCCTAACACTCGTAAGTGAGAGGTGTTACTAGAAAATCTCTAGCAGTTCAGCTAATGTCATCTGAGGCATGTATGTATACCAACATTTGACGCTCCACATTTATTTTATTTATTTTTTAAAATTTTTGATTACAGCTTGATTCCACGCCGTATATTTTGGTACAGGTATGGAATTTTCAGCATGTGATATCGGTAGCCCAAATTCGCAGGCAGGGGATCGAACCCCGGACCATGTGCATGGTCGGCAAGAGTCATATCCTCTGTGCCACCGACGCATGCTAATGTGTTTAACTCACCTTGGGTTTTTGATTTTGTTGCCCCAGAGCTCCAGCTAATCAAAGTTTAATTATGGATCTTAGAGATTTGAATGACATAAAAGTTGCTCAAATCTCTTCATGTCTATAGCAAGAGAGCTCTTTCTTGAAGACCGGGATAGTCACTGGCTGAGACCATCCTCAAGGAACGTCGTCCAGCTATCTGAAACTAGGTAGAATATTAATTAAGCTAATAAGCATGACTAGCTCTTTAGACATCGTAGTCCTAATCTTGTTTGACATTACTTAAGTTTTCGCACTCACTGATGATACGTTGGCTTTTTATCAAACATAATATCAGATAACTCTTGATTGTAGGAATCAACCAAAGTCTATAAATTATATTTTTTTTAGTTCAATAAACAGATAAATCTTCAAATAATATTTAAAAAAAATCTTAATAGGTCATGATTGGACTTTACTGGGAACTATGCAGTGGCCATCTAGTTACAGTGATATTCGTGAACATGAGTATATATATATATATATATATAAATCACTTTGGTTGACAGCCAGTTTGATTGATAGGTTTAAACGATTTCATTGTCCTCATTTTTCTGACTGAAATTGCCATCATCACGACTGCTAGTTTTCCTAATCCTCAGAATTGAAGATGACAGGCTCAGTCAAAACAGATACTTCTAAAGTCCGTGTGTTTCTTAAGTTCCTCTGTATGCACACTTTTAAATATTCTTACTACGGTAATTCTGAACCGGATTAAATTATACCGATCCAAGAGACCATGGATATTTTAGGGATTGAAACAACTAATCGGAAAAGGGATAGACAATGAAACTAGTTATCGCGGGATGGTCTAGGGTGATACTAATCAAGAGCACTTTTCAAAATTTACGGAATGGGTTCTGTTCAGACGCAGTTTTCTAGTTCCGTATCGATTTTAGCTTGACTGAAAGAAGTCGATTGTATGTCACAATAAATCATGAAACTAAGACTAAAATATTCAGTTACAAATGTGTATGATAATGATAACAGGGTTATTTGTATAAATAAGGATATACGCACAATTGTCGAGTGTAACGGCGAAAGGAAATTATGGCAGTTTCATCCAGGGGAAAAATGGATATTATCAGAAATGAGAATTTTCTAGACACAAAACAGGTTGAGAAATTTTAATTGTTATTTGCATTGGCCACGTTTAGCAGTCAATGTTTTACAAACGCACAGAATTCAGGTAGCATCTGGTGCCTAATATCCACTAGTTGAACCCCTATAAGTCTCTGTAAACTTTGTTTTTTCCTAACTACTTGTGACAGTGCTCAAGTAAGTGATAGTGGGTTCGTTAATCCTTATAGAAAAGGAAATGAGTTATCCTTCACCTGAATTGGTATTATTCAACATGTGGTAGATTTCACACAGTGTCGAACGCTTTATCCATTGATTTGCTGAGTTTCAATGTTAATTACTTCTCTATACCATAAGTTGAGGTATGAATGTGCTTCATCTGTAGGCTCCTGTCTCCAAACACTTTCATAATAACAAACGTAAACTATGTCCTATAATTATTATGACGAAAATATTTAAATTGTTGAAATTCTGTAAATATTTCGTGTCTTTAGAGGAGTGCAACAATTTCTTGAAGTTTAATGTTAGGCTCTCTGAAGATCTGTTGAATTTATTTTGATCATGTTATTGAAAATCATATTACATAGCTCTGAGGGCATCACAAATAAGACCGAATAAATTGGTACTGAGACATTTTTCATAGATAAACTCGACTGAGTTTAGATGTTTTGAGTGTGAATGACACCTAACTCATTGCTGAAGTACGGTTGATTTCTTACTTTGTAACTCACATTTCATGTTTTGGGATTGCGGGTTGGCCACCCCTCCGCACACCTCTTGAAATGCTCCCATATGACCGGGCGTCTTACATAGCCTCTCCTGAGGAAGTCCTACTCACTGCCTTCACGTGGCGGAGGTGTTTCTCACCAAAGTGAGAGGGCGAAAGTGGATGCCCGGCGCTCTTTACCGGGTTGACTGTCCATTGGATGACAGTCTAGGGGAGATGGCTAAACCCTTATTCCAAACCTCCAACGACTGGCGTATGAAGCTCACTAGAGCTCACCGGCAGACGTATGGACAAAGGGCTTGTTGGATGTCCTGGATGTCTGGCCCCACTCAAAAAGGCGTATGAACCGAACTCCAATCACCGGCTGCCAATGGATAGTGGACTCCCTACTCCACTGCTACTGCCTTGTAGGTCACACTTGGTTGTGTAAAGACTAGAGCTGCACTCTCAAACAAAAGGCCGAGCGATTCTAGGGACATCACTCGTACCAAATTCCCATGAAACTTCATGAACTCTCTTCAGATCGCCGCGCCTGGGCAGCGATGATTCGAGATGTTCATGAAGCCGGCTCATCCTCCCGTAGGAGATATCCGAAGTAAAGTAAAGTAAAGTAGTATTGCATCAATGTTGCTATTGACAAGTACGATAGGAATCACTACAAATGCCTAAGTTAATTTGCATTTCCTATTGATTGATTATGTTGAACTGAGATGTTCGGTCTTTGTTGACATGCCAGTTCCTAGTACCGAACACTTTGGTCCAATAGGAATCAATCACCAGGAAATACAAATTAACTTGAACAGTAATAATAACGGCTCTCGTGGCCTGTTGGCCTAGTGCATAGCACTGTAGCGTTTGAAACGATGAATGCCACGTTCGAGTTTCAGTGAAAACACAATCACTCCCTGGGATGCAAGTACATCCATTTGACGACTTCCTCATAAGAAGAAATACGCATACTGGATTGCGCTGCTAGTCACCATCAAATAAAATAATAATTACCACAATGTCTGTTTCCATCATCAGGTTAATTCATCACAGCTTTGCCAGTGTTCCTCTCAAATTATCTGTTCCAAGGGCCTTATTCATAGTCCCAAAATTCTTTGACGTTGTAAATCATCCAGTAAGATAATAAACTGAATAACACAGTCGGAAACTTTCGTTTCTATGCGTAATTTTGATTAGTGTTGTCCTATTGTTCCTTTAAAAAGTACTTTTAATTAGAAAGAATGCTTTCTAAAGGATTATTTTTATATTTTATAAACAGTTCTTTTATTTAAAACTACTCTGCTAGTACGTGTTTCTTAAGTTAAATATTAACTTGGGATCTATCTCATAGGTGAGCTTCCGATTTTATTGGGTAAATAGTTCCGTCTCATGAAGCGATTGATATTTTAGAAGGGCTAATTCGTTCCTTTTACGATGTATACGCTTAAGTTTACTCAGATACTGTCTATTGATAATAGTATTTATTATTACTATGTTTGTATTTCAGATCCTGGTATTTATCTCTTGTTGGGTGGTCTATTACTAATCGTTGTATGGTATACGTGTTTACTGACTGTGGACTTAATGGGTCTTCGTCGTAAACGTGGATTAATCTTTCCGGATTATGAGAACTTATCGGAAAGCAACACAACTCTTCAAGTTCTCGAAAGGAAGTTAGTTTAATATACATACTTACACACACACAAATATACCTATTCGGTGCAACAGTTTTCAGTATTCATAGTGATAATTCAATTGTTGTATCAGGTTTTTCGTCCTTAATTTATCTGCTTTTATGTGTTATATGGAAGTATTGAATGTAGGTCTGTGTTACTAAAGACTATAGCTTAGTTGTTGTTGTTGTTGTCTTTAACTTGCCTTTGGATTTCTGTTTAATGCAATTCAAAAAAATATCATACCATTAAAGGATGGAGTGTCTAATGTATAAATAACTCTCTAAATTTCCGCTCTATTCTTATAAGGTCAAATCAGCATACAGCTTATTTTGATGTTCCAGTTTATTTCTATTGGAGTTGATATTTCTAACATGAATAGTTTTCATTTACCAGGAATTGTGATAATTGACATAGATATTGTTGTTGTATATTGGACCGTTAGTTGTTTGTTTGATTATCCCTCAGGCTTGATAGATTTGTAAATCGCAGTTATTTATTTAACGCCTTGAATATTGATGAGCAAATCCCTTCACATCATGTAGAATGCATTCTTGCACTGTCTTCGAAAAATGCCAATGTTATCAGTAGTTCTTTTCAATTTATTTTTTTTGGTTTGGCATTTGATCACTACATATTCTTATTGCATACATTTTTCTCCATTTTTTCACTAGTCTATTTTCTGAGATTGATAGTCACGAATCAGATGCAGACAGCCACATCGCTTCGTATGATGATGATGATGATAATGTGAGTTGTTATGTGTACTCAATTTTTTCTGTCATTTTAGTTAATTATTTCTTCTCCCATATATTTTTCTCTGTTGCCTTCTAATCATTTATATTTAGAAAATATTAAGAAATGCATTGCTTCTCATTTGGTGACAGTGGAACAAGATAATTTCAGGTTAGATCGCGTATGAAGTCAAAGTTTCATACAAGTTTAAATTCTTAAGGAGTACTCCACTGTATTTTGATGTCTTGTAGTATTTAACTTTTCGTTGTCCAATTTCCATTTCTTCATCATCGTATTTGTATCTTAAGGTAAGTCTAAATAAATAATCCATGTCTTAAGTAATCAGTTAAAGACAATCAGTTAAAGTCCCCCTCAATCACTAAACAACACCCGGCTGACATATATTTTATCTGAAATTTATGTTTGACATTATTAGACACAGAAGTAAACTACTGATTACAGTAATGTATATTTAAACTCAGTTATTGGAAAGACACATTTTATGTACCAGGCTAAGAGCCACACTTATTGTGCAAGAGCTGATAATATTACATAGTTGCCTAAGTTGACATAAGTGGAACAAGACTTGAATGCATAACCGCTAGACTAAAGGCCAAGAATTGTAACTGACGAGCGAAACTAGTACATACCAATTTACAGATTGCAAGGTAGCTTCGTTTCAACTAAAGATGGAACAGATGACGACGTTGAGATCAGAATCAAAAAGGCAAGAAAAGCCCTCAACTCTCGGAAATCAGTTTGAAAATCAGCTACACTCTCCATATAGAATAAGATTCAGATTTTCAACATCAATGCTAAGTCAGTCACTTTTTCTATATTGGTCAGAAAAGCATTTCTAATATGCTATTGCAGTCTTTTGTCAACAGCTGTCTTCACTGGCTCACTACTGAAGATCAGATGGCTGGCCAGAAAGAATTAGCAACAAGAAACTCTGGGAATGAACCAATCAACAACCTATTGCTTAACAAGTATGTAGAAGAAAATGGAGATGGATCGGATACACTCCACTGAGGGGACCGTCGAATGACATCGTGTGCCGGACTATCGTTTGATTGGAACCTGAATGGGAAATGTCTAGTTGAACGTTGGTCGGAGAGTGAAATAGAGGAGATCGTATGAGGGCAATTGTGGGGCCATCTGAAGAGGACTGCAGAGAATAGGATAAAGTGGAGACATCCCACTGAAGACCCATATCCTTCCTGAAACCCAAGGGAGCAATAATAATAATGGTGCTCTGGTATCTGATAGCTGTTATGTGGCCTTTTTCTCACCGATAAGTTGTCCATGCATATCTCACCGCACTAAACATTCTAATGTTTACTTTTAAAAAATTGCTTTGATTTTCCTGTTTCATCTTTCAGAATGGTGATCGCCTTCTTGGTATAAACACTTATATGTTGAATTGGGATGAGTTTACCAAGAGTGTTATTCGGTCAGGAGCAGGTCTACTATTTCCTGCATCGACCTTTTCTTTGTTTGTTAGTCTTCTTAGTGAAAGTTACTTTGCAGAACTAAAATATTTAAGAAAAGAAGTCAGTAGAACGATTGAGAAATTTTCACGTGTTGAAAATTTAGTAAGTGGTTTTATTTATCTATATTTTTAGAAATCACAGCTCTAAATTTTGACATGTGGTTTGGGACAGAGAGGAAATTAATGATTAGTGTTTTGTACGACGATTTGACGCCCTTTAGAACGTTAGATGTATTTATATTCTTATTGATATTTTTGATTCGGAGATTGATTATATATCTAGTGGAAGGATATTCCAAAGATTTACTAGTTTTAATGACCATCTGTTTCATGCGTATGGCTTACCGTTCGTTGCTGTTTATCTGCTTTAGTGGAGTAGTCTGTCTTTGTTACGGTATAATTAGTTTTACAGTGAAATATTTTCATTGGTTATGTAACACTATGACAGCTAATGCTATCAATGAAGTTATAAATTCGTTTAGAGCAAGACGAAATCAACAATCATCTAATCGAAGCACACTTAAAACGTTATCTTCTTAAGTGAAATGAACAACTTTATTAAGGTATTCTACCTTATAATATTCAATAACTCATAAAGAATGAAAAATTCAATTGACAGCTGAGATTAGTTATTTAAGTGTTCTGTGAAGCTTGATTGTGTAAAACTATCATCAAGTGGAGTTGATATGTGAGACGAGTGCATGTTATCGGACAATGAAACCACATCGTTTACATTTCACAGTTTAGCTATTTCCCTTTTGAGTAGACAAAATTCTCACTGTCTTTATTAGCTTGTCACAGTCGTCTCCATCATAAATTCAATTTTGTCCAGAACAAATGACCTAGCTGATTAGGATTTTTGTATTTTATACATTAACACTTCAAGATAAGTGATAAGTGACTGAAATGAAAATGTCACTTTCCTGATTGTGTCTGTTACTAGCTGATGTCTTTTGGTATTTACGTTTTAACGAAGTAAATATACAAATCAATTCGCCAATCTTCCTTATCCCAGAATGTATATATACAGTATCGTGTTTATGCTGTAAATAAATTTCCTTTAAAACCAATGGTTTAATTTTCAGTAGTTCTGTCAAATTCACTTATAATCACCTTTAGAAAGCAGAAGGATTGAGCGAAGAAATATTTACTTTTCAATTAGATCCTCATCTCTGGCTCAGCTCTAATATATATATATATATATATATATATATAGCATTGTTATTACAACACACAACAATTTACCAATCAAGTGGCACTGATATGTTTGTTAACAATAATTAGTCAGTGTCAACATGTCAATGGGGTGATAATTAACGAAGAAAATTAATACACACAATTAAAAGGTAGAAATGGTTGCAACACATGGATTGCGTAATGCATAATTTTGGAAAAGTAAAGAGTAATTAAGGAATAATCGTGTGCATGGGTTGATAGCGTAACAGGCTGTTGAAGAAAATAAAACGATTTGGACAATGATAACTTGTAACTAAGGCTGAAGTAATCATAAGAATAAAATGATTTTACAAAGATAACGTTTGATTAAAGATGAAGTAGTTAGGAAAAATAATCAAATGATTTGGACAATTATAATTTTTAAAGGTTTAAGGGAGCAGGGGGGGCAAAGTAGTCCGGTTTAAACATTCATGTAACAATGGCCAAGGTAAGAAAAGTGGCTGTACAAATTACTTCTGAACACGCAGGTTCGGCTTCTTCAAGTGGATTCCTGTTGCTTCAGCTGTATGTAAAAGACGAACTCGTAAAGCAAAATTAAGATTAGTAGGAATGAGGCAAATAATTGTAAATGCTTTATTAACGTCAATCTAATGCTCACTGTCTACAAGGTGTGCTAAAATGGAGCTAGCATCGTTAAGCAAGGGACAAACAAGATTGACGTTAATACTGCTGTATGTACGAGGACTCTTACACACAGTAGAGGCAAATCTATGCGTCAGTTCAAAAGAAATTTGTACAGCTCCTTTCTTTACCATGACTAACTACTTAATATGTATTAAATTTTTAAAAACCGATTTTTTCCCTCCCCTTGTAACCATCTTTTCACTATGTTAACTCTTACAATTTTTACAATTCAAGCTAATTCTATTAACTTGTTTGTATTTTACGTAATTCCTCTGAGTCATCCTATTCCTCTTAGTCATGATTGTTATTTTACAAATTTCTTGATTATGCAATAACTTGTTGCTAATGCCTAAGAATCAACTTATCTTGAATTCCGTAATTAGTTTTCACCTCTCCTATAAAACTTAGATATCTTGTTACTAACATCTATTAGTTATTTATTTTGATGACCTTTAACCTCTTGATTTCGCCCCCGCCTCTACCTAAAACTAACTGACTAAAATAACCACTTGATTGGATGAAGGTTTGTCTTTCCTTTTTGATTCTGGTTTTGGCGTCTTCATCTATTCCGCCTTTAGTTGAAACGATGCCGCCTGGATAAGTGAAGGATTTGTCAATAAATAAGTACAGATTTACTTGAATAAAGCTCTTGAATAATATTATGTAATGTGTGATTTCTTTCACAAAGCAGAATTTCGTTTTTTCCATCTATTTGTACCGATTTCTAGATGAAACGGTGTCAGTCAGAATACTCGTATAATAATAAGATGTTAGCGGATTATGTGAATTCCATCAAGTAAGTATTCATGACTCACCTTATAAATACTAGAAATTCGATGAATTAAATTATTTTGTCTCATTCAGTTAATCAATTCCTTAAGCCGACGAAGTTTTTCTCTAAGTGAATCTATTGATGTATTTAGCAGTTTTTCTTTTAATTCCAGCCTTAATAAGAGTCCTAAACAGAGTTGTAGATCTTCCTTCTTTTATATTGCAGTATTCTATGATTGCCTTAAATTCTGCTCGAGTTACATAATAATGATTGAGTAATCATATTACTGATTCCATTATTCTTCTCTTACGATTCTTGATAAATGTTCACCGGCGTTGTTTGATCTTTGAAATTTGAAGTTCATAAGTTTACTGATCAGATTTCTGTCTCAAACAATCAGATACATTATCAAAGCTGCTTTAACTAATATAGAGTGTGGTAGCATTTTAAGGATGCTGCTAGTGTGGTGTGAGCTGTCTTCAAGACTAAATTGTAGGCAACAGTTGACGTCAATTTTTACGTCCCATATCTGGGTTATGAGAAAAACCAAGACCAAAGCCTAACCTTGAGGAACCCAACAACCAATCACAGCAGACTTAGCGTGGGCGGATACAATTCGCAGATATATCACCGGACTGTCTAAGAAACGGCAACAAAAAAAAAGATGACAGGATAACCTTCAGCAGGAAAACAACCAATCAGAAGACGTTACTTCTCAGCTAACAATAACGAATAATAATGTACATAAAAATCTATAAATATATGTTGCTTTTCTCATTAAAGGATTATTATTTATTTTTTTATTTTGATTACAGCTTGATTCCACACCGTATTTTCAGTAAAGTATGGAATTTTCAGCATGGATATCGGTAGCCCAAATTTACAGGCCGACCATAGATATCGGGTGTGCGTCGGCAGGGGATCGAACCCCGGACCATATGCATGGTCGGCGAGGGTCCCAACCACTGTGCCACCGACGCACTGTTGCCTGACCCTTGTCTTCTGTCGTTACACTAGTATTTAAGCCTTTATCTTGTTTTCGTTTCACTCTTTAATCTCTAGCATTGTTAATTCACCATGTTCTTTTCCTAAATCGAGAGTGAATTAAATTCCATCCATTGTTGAGTTTATGTATGTAGCGATAAATTACAGGCAGTTAGTGTAATGATGAACGGATAGTTACGCATTAATCATTTGCATGAGAACTGGAGATTACTCATAATGATTTTATTGAACGATAATGATCCGGCTAGCAGTTGTGTCGTGTGACTCTGCTTGTAGATTTCCAGACTAGCAGTTCAAAGGTCGAAAGTTCGGATCCTGCGTCAACCCAAGTTTTCATTTTCAGTCATTTTTCTACTAGAATTCGACACTGAGATCAGGCTTTAAACACTCAGTGCGTTACTCTTTTATACCTTGATCTAATTTAGCGGAAAGAGAAATCTTAACCTTTCCTCCTCCATAACTAGAATTATTTGCACTGGAAATATAATTGGTGACTACTTGGAAGAACACGTAAAATTGACACTACCCTTCTAGGCCTTGTCAAGTAAGGCAGAAAAAATTGAACAAAAAACTTACAGCCTTGAAGAAGGCATGAATGTTGACTTCAAAGGAAAAACTGTGGTGAGAATTTTGAAAAACCGTTCGTTCAGAAAGACGAAAAGAATCTTCTTCATAAGCAGCTGCAAGCAGTCTTCTTTAATTAGTATTTGTTTTGTAATCTGCGAATTTGATCTCTTCGCTCTAATGATTAAGCATTTACTATGTATTTGTACCCTCACTATTTTATTTCCATCAGCGCTTACATTATGAACGCATAGTGTATCTCCAACATTTTGGCTGTGTAATTTTAATATGTTTACGAGAAAGTAATTTGAAATTAAGTTCTCAAAACTTCTGTTCACTAACTTATTTATCTGTAGAGTGGAAATGTCTGATCAGAAACTCGCATTGGAGAGTTTTATTGCAAGATGGAATAACATTTTAAGCTCTATACGAATTGCCTCTATAATGTTTGCTGATTCGAATGATAATGGAATTCACATAACAACTAACTCTGCTTCGTCTGAAACAACCTTTTCCTCATTGAGCGATATAACTGAAGACGATCAAATTGATACATTACCAAAAGATGACAGTAAAGCTGATATTCCATCTGACCAGCTGGTATCACGTAAGCTGTTCTTCTTTTAGTAAACAATATGAGAATATTGATTACCTTATTATGTCGTCATTGGTTGGTTGGTCCAATGTATCACATTTGACAGAATTCACAAAATTCCTTTATATAAATTAAAACTTGCAAATATATATATATATATATATATATATATATAGAGGTCAGCTCCTAAGATTCTGTCTAAAAAGCTTCTCAATTAAACCATTCGGTTGAAAGCACACAGCTACATCAATATCATCCCCATTAATCCCAAAGAAATCTGTGAACATTAAATTCAATCAATTATGAATGATGCATTAGTATTATGACTGACTGACTGGTTTCAACGTGGAACTTTGCACCGATGTGCAGCAGTGACAAGAAGTGGACGCATCTGCGCCAGCCATTGACAAAGATTTTGAGGCATATCACCAATTGTTTCCAGCCTTCATTGGTTCCTACCGTCCCGATGACCCCAGTCAGGAAGTTTACACCTCCCTACATGACTGGCTTAAACGAACTGTTTGTGGATTTCAGTGACTGATGAAGCCATGTTTTGGTTTGAATACCAGCGGCTCTTTTCCAACCTGATCCACCCGATGTCAGCTAACATTGCCTGTTGTTGAGGAAGGCGATGGCTAGGGAAGCATGTGTAATACATGTCCTAGCCATCCCATTCGGTGTAACTTCACAGCCTCGTCGATTGATTCACCCCACCGTAGCTAGCATTCGACCATCGCCTAGTCTCACTATTGCTCACCTTATTACATCACCTAACACGGGAGATAGAACGCAGGCAGTAAAGATCAAAGACAGCTAGCCGACCTTTTCATGTCTTCCACTCTCAGTCGCCATGTCTCACAGCCATAAAGGAGGAAGAAGCGGACTGTTGAGCACTTTACACGCCCTTTGGTCGACAGCCAACCGGATATCACGTCTACGCCAGAGGCGACGTAAACTGGAATATGCGAACTGATGCTTCTGTATCGGTGCTGAGATTTGGTCAGTGATCAACCCGTTGTCACTGGCTGATGCAACTTCTTAAATAAGTGAAGTGGTCAGTGCGCACCACCAATCACTTCACTCTTTATCTTTAAGCTAGGAGTCGGGGTAGTCTAGTCCTGTAGCCTCATCGCCTTACGTTTGATGGGAGCGAATTTCATGCGAAATATTCTAAGATTGCTGCTCAAGGTGTTCAGAAGACTCTGTATGTTGTCAGCTTCTTCACTGAGATAGGAAGACTATATCATCTGCATATTCTAATTCAACGAGATTACTTTCTGGTAACAAGTCAATCCCTGAGTCGCTGAAGTGAGTTAGGGTTAATTCCATCAGTACATCTATGATAAAGTATGTTCCTTCAGTCCTTTCGACTAAAAAGTATGTGATATCTTTTAATTAAACTACCGTACTACTTACAATCTACTTGCTCACCATTCATTTGGGAAGTCTGCTTTCGATTCCCAACTGACGCATTCTTAAACCTTGTCTAGTTCACTTAGTAGCCGGTAGTACAGTAGACAAGAGGGAAGGTTGAGGCTTGCAACTCCAATCCCAATATCCCCGCTATTGAGACTTAAGAAGCTTGAAGTCCTATTTCGCAGTCGGCACACAGGGAATGAAAAGGAGAAAGAAGAAGACTTTTATCTACAGTAATGCGTGAATACAACTAATTGTTCTGTAGGTGTTTCATTATATTATCAGTGTTCACTTAGACAAACGGGAAGACAGTATTCCACGCAGAAGGAAATCAGACTTTTCTTGTATCATTAATTACTCTGAATTTTACCTTTTATCAGATAATGCTGTGCATCTGCTTGTACTGCAAAAGCTAAATCTTCAACTTAGGATAGTATGCTACTGTATCATTTTATTGGCTACCCATCTGCAGGAGACATATAAATTTAACTGAGTATTTGAAATGGTATTTAGGCCGATAATTGATTATGTTCTGAGATACATCTCTGTTTCTCTTATGGCTATAATTTTTAAAAACTTAATTTGATTCCCTTACATTCCTAGTGGAACATAAAGCTTCAATCTAGAGCTCTGAGGTTTCGGTAGCAGTGGTTTTATTTTTTTTATTTTTACAAGATAGGGTTGCTAGCCTCATGCCCAACCTTCCCTCTTTACCGGCCTTACTACCATTGGCTTAACGAGATTTAGGAATGCATCGGCCGGGGATCGAACCCTGGACCACATTCGTGGTTGGCGAGTTATATATAGTTATAAGTTACTATATTAGCTGAAACAGACACAAAAAATATTTAAAAAATCCCCTGAATTTAGCCCTTCAGGATAGTTACAGACAAGTTGATCTTGTCTCTTTCAAAATGAACGTGTCTTAAATGTAGACTTAGTAAATCTTTTCTTTAGTATATATTACTGATTTTTTTCTTCTTTAACTTACTATTCATCTGGCTATTATTGTCTTCAGAAGAATACTTTGTTGACAGTGAAATAGAAAATTGTATATCTGTTGAAATGAAATCACCAACTGAAATACAGAATATTAATGACGAAGTCGGAATTCGTATTCACTCATCAGATGGTGTTGGTAATATTTCAAACGAGTGAGCTATTGCCTAATATCTTTTTTCCTTATTCATGCCTAATTTAATAGATATTTCTATGCATGTTAGTGTAATTACTAATATATTATTTAAAAAGACATGGGTTAGCAAATAATATTCATTTCGTCACCTCCCTTTCAAAGCTGTACAGTTAAAAATAATGTTCTAAAAAGTCATGGGAATGCCAATATTGTTGGATTATTCCCTCTAGTTGGTAAAAACACGTATGAAATTCCATTTCAATCAGGATGAGGCAAAAAACGGATAAATTGTGCAACTCGGTTGAGTAGTTTAACATAATCTAAAAAAATGTGTAATGATGAATATTACTCAGAAATGATTATCATCAAAACTGTAAGCATTTGGAAGGAGGAATGCTGTTCCTAGCAGTAAGCGATCCAGAATATGTATAAAGTATATTTAAATGTTAGCACTTTAAAAAAAAGTAGAAGGAAAAAATCTATGGACGAAATTGGATTGCGTACAAGATTATTGTAATAATAATTAATAACACCATCTTTATTCTGAACAGTATTTATAAAATGTACAGAATTTTCAAAGGAGTTTATTGAATGATATTTTCCCTTTGTACAATATCTTCAAGTAAAATATTTCTGAGCTGAAGCACAAACCATTCCATTATGATATACATATCTGCTTTGTCTCCTTCAAGAAGTCCACGATATCTAGTTGACAGCCAATTGTAAGGTGTTCATTAGTACATTTTGAGACCCTAGGACATAACTGAAGAACAGTTATCTCAAGCATTGGAACACGTTACCACCCAAAATAAGGTCTTTCCTCAAGTTCAGGAACTTGCGAATTAGATGCTTGTGAACATTTTAAATACACACGAGAGTGTAGATAATACCATTGGAGGTCATATTTGAATTGATTAAAACAAACCGAATGACAGAAAATATATACAATGAAGAAATATTTTCTATAGTTTGGTTTGTAAGGGTTAGTTATGTTTTTTTACGAGTTGATTACGGATTGATATCGGTTAGAGAACCATTAAAAACCAGGGAGTACTGGACAATCCGTGATCAACTCGTAAAAACATAACTAACCCTTACAAACCAAACTATAGAAAATTAATCTGATGCTCGCTAGTGACTTGCTACAGAATGGAGTTTCCTGGAGTTCTATTGAGAAGTCGTGACCAGTGAGGTCCAATTAGATATCACGTGTGTGGATGGATGTCCCACCAACGACAATGGTTGGGGTTGCGCTAAATCACGAATTGGTAGAAGCTGGAATTCATGAGCCATCGAATCGGCTCCCAGTAGCTGAATGGTATACGAGCTTGCCTTCTAACCGGAAGGTCCTGGGTTCGAACCCTGGTGGTTGGTGCGTACTGCCGATGATTCTCAAACTGGGATGAAACAGCAGCTGTCCAGTACTCCCTGGTTTTCAATGGTTCTCTAACTGATATCAGTTCGTGATCAACTCTTAAAAAAAAATAAAGAAATATAAGTTTTCGGTAGCCCAAGTTTTAAGCAAGTCGCCGACTGTGAGCACAAGTCAAAAAGGTCATAGGTCATAGTAATAAAATAAAATGGACAAACCACTTTTCATACACAGTTCATGGCTTTTTTTTGGTGTACATTGAAAGATTTCTCTGTGGACAGAAAAATAAACCTTAAACATATTCTGAATCTCTTACTTTTATGAATAATACTCCTCTTTGCGAAAGTTTACAGTTTTAATGATAATCATTTCTGAACACTACTCATCACTTAATGTTTTTAGATTACGCAAGATAAGTTACCCAAGTGTCTCAGTCTATCGATTTTTCTTTCTGATATTTTATTTTATTTATTTTGTTACCGATTGGAGTTAATAAACTGACCTTTACTGACATTTCCATGACCTTTTTGAACACTATTTAATTGTACAGCTTTGATGAGAAGTTAAGAAAGGAATATTCTTCGCTGACCTATGCCTTTTTAAGTTTTTCACACACTTCAATAAATAAGTATATTTTGCCTCTGTTTCTGTTGTATAATTATCTATTCTGGTGATTAAAGATTTGTAGATTAGATGAATAACTTTTGACGGTGTTATATTCTGTCACTTGGATGGTTTAATATATTATTCCAGACAATTGTTGTATATGAGCATGTACTTTACGAAATGGTAAGCTAAAAGTGTTTCGTGAGGAATCATTTATCAGCATATCTGGATGATATGGGCCGTGGTTAGATATCTCAGTATGAGTCATGCTGCATGACTATCCATGCATATGTATTCCAACTAGATAGATGCTTCGTTAAATTGACCATTAACTATGTAATTATTTGTGTCTGTTTGTTACTAGTCGATCAGGTTAGATTGATAATGTCTGTTGATTACAAATTAACCTGAGGGACAATCGTTTTAGAAAATAATTCCTTTCTATTCTTTTAGTGTAGAATCTTCGTATGTTTCCAGTGGAACTTATGCCTGTAGTTATCTATGTAATTGGGGCCGCTTGGATATTTCTTGATACTTATCTCAACTAGTGTAAAGAAGATGAAATAGCGACAAGGTTAAGAATGAAGTCAGGAAAATGAGTCAGTCAGAATATATGTGGAGATAATGATGACTTACCTATTACTGAAACAATCAATCATGTCATAGATAATATGGATATGTCACTAAAGAAATTCTTATAGTGCACTTAGTGAATGACTTCCAGGTTAAAGAGCTCAACATTTAGAAATTTACCGATATGCATATATTAACGGTGGCCTTTACAATGTTTATAAATGGTAATTACTTAATGCTGGGAAAGGTCATGTACTCAATGCAAATCCTAATCAAATGACAAGAAATTGATTGCTCGACAGTAACTGATTTACTGAGTGTTAGTAGAATTCCATCCATCATGTGTTGTCGATAAATTAGGTAATACGGCGCCAAACTAAACTGCCCTAGTGTGATGCACTGTATTTTGAGATAAATACTTAATGTTCAGTCGGTAGGAAGGCTTCGATCAATGTCTTGTCCTTGTTTACTTTCATCAGAAATAAAGAATTTTGCAAATTGGTGTGATCACAGAAAGTAATTTAGCTCCAAATATTGTAGCCTATTAACAATCCCTTTGAGACCGGATGATATTTGGTGGTGACGGTAGTTTCCTTCTGAAACCACGAGTGCAGTTTCACCATAAACTGTCAAACTCACAAATTGTGAATTTTACTTAATGTATTGCCTACTAGTTCGCCCGACTAGCTAAAACCAGGATCGAGGTGGTGTAAACTTATTCGGCTCTCTGAGTTGAGTCAAACTACGTTCACCGCTGATGGGCTTGGCTGTAGACGTGTAAAATGACCGCCTGGTGTTTAGATCACTTCGAACTGGCTACCATGCACTACTGCTTGATGTGTGGGGTATCCAACTACTTGTGTGAATCAGTCGGTCAAGTGTGACAATCATGATTAAAAACTTGCGATGAGGTTTTTAATGTGGCCGAGTGTGTGATACAACATGATGCTCGCCATAAGGCAATTAATTTAGGTTAGGGATAGTGTTGCACAAAAACAGATTTCATACCATTTGAATGTAAGGGTGTCGGTGTTTCAACGGTAGAATGCTCGCCAACCACTCATATGGTCCGGGGTTCGATCCCTGGCCGACGCACTCCTAAACCTCGCTGAGCCGATAGCAGTTAGTCCGGTGAAGAGGGAAGGTTGGGCATGAGACTAGCAACCCTATCTCGTAGAAATAAGAAAATCACTGCTACTGAAGCTTCAAATCTCTAGTCTGAAGCTCTATGTTCCAATAGGAACGTAGAGGAATAGGATTTTAAGAAAATATGTAAGTCTGCTCGTGCATTTTCTGCTTCTATAGTCATTTGTGAATATTCAAGAATGCATTTGTTTAAAATTTATATCCCACAAAAGACATCAAGCACTACCTATGGTTATTAATATTACACGAATAACATTAGGTTGTGTTTTACCATGCAATTGTGCAATATAGGGACTTATTTCACGAATATTTGTGTGCCATTATGTCATATATATACTAGACAACGATACAACTCATTTTATATATTCAAGATGTCATTTTATCAAGTTAAGTTTACCTTATAATATGTCAAAGATTATATACTTTTGATGTAGTTGAGTATATTCTCTACTTTTGTTTTTCTGTTGTACTAGGATTTCGCATAATGAGGACACTGAGGAACACCAACCTTGCAGTTACCTACATGTGACAAAGATACCTACACTGTCGCGTTCGTCACTATCTTCTGAGACATCACCTAACATGCTGACATTTGGAAGTTCACAATTAAAACGCCATGGTGTCTCCACCGTAAGTAAATAAATACTTAGAAATTCTATGCATAAGTTAGATTAAAGTATTGTTCATATGAATTAAATCCATTGTATGTATTTACGCAAGTATGATAAAGTTGACAATATTGGAAAGTATTTTTTCAACTTATGGATTTTGTATTATTAGTTCCACTGAACTGAAGCGATCAGTGTCTGTTGGTATAGTTACTTCTAGAATGATACTCTCATTATTACTTTTGACATAAGTTTGATTTTACTTGATAGGTGGTGGCTAGCAGTGTGATCCAGAATGATCTCAGTATACAATTAGATTACACTTTGCAGTTTGCAAATGTCGAATGCTAAGCTCGAGTCGCGCTGAAAACACTTACTTGGATGCAGGTTCATCTGATTTGATAAGCCCTGAAAAGAATAAAAGGAACCTGCCGAATTCTACTGCTAACAACTATCTATCAAGTATATCTAAAACGCGGTTAATCATATTTTAGCTACGTTTAACTATAGCAGTCACCGCCAACAACTCCATGAAAGAACTTTCAAGATGACGGTGAATCAACCGATCACACAACCCATTATGTATGCTATGAATGTATTTCGTTCAAATTACTCTCTAGATCTGATTTCCCACTTTTGCCTAGATATTGGATTCTGTGCTGTGCCTAACTGAGAAAGTTTATTATGGTAGTTAGGGAAGAATAAGACTATCTCTGTGTATGTGGGACAATATAGTTAGTTAGCAAATTTACCAGTCTTAATGTCAGTTTCCTACGATTGGTTATTCAGAAGGGACCTGATGGTGACTGTTATAGTTTAACTTCACCCATATTTTTTAATGGTTGCCGGAAACTGTTAATAAAATCCATGAGGAATTAGGAGAAAGGCATTTCATTGGCTGGTCGTTTGAAATCTTAAACAAAAGGAGATGTAATAACGAAGAAGATTTTCTTTTCAACAAATCATTGTCATCAAGAGTTGTACAGTTGTATTCGTATCTTACAAATAATTCATAAAACTACTCAGCTACTGGTAACTGTATTCTAGAGGATATATATTACGTAATGTGAGGCATAGTCTGAGAGGTGATGACTAAGTAAAGGTTAGAGGACTGGGATTGAGTTGTAAGTCTGAGAAATTATCTAATCTGTGTAAATGGACAAAAGCTAAAGAAATATGATAAAGTAGTTTATATAAAATCTATATGAGAAATGCAATGTTATTATTAAATAATAATGATGATAATGTAAAATCAACAATGAAATAAGCCGACATGGCAACCTGAGACCGAGCACTTCGGTCCAATCCATCGACGGGAAAATCTAAAATTCAATTGAATCAAAATGACCCGTTGCACAAGAGGTGGTTCTCATGACCCAAGTGGTCTAGTGGATAACGCTTCGGCTTTTGAAACTATGGGCACTGCGTTCCAGCCTTGGTGGGAACATCATCACTCACTGAGTGCGGAGTGCAGGTGCATCCATATGACGAGTCCCAAATAGGACGAAATGTGCATCCTGGATTCCACTGCTAGTCACCATCCACCAATTTAATACTAATGAAATAATAGTAAACTAAAATACCAAGCAATTATGGCAAGACGAGGTATGGTATGACAGGTAAGTGCATGTGATTCTCTTGGATGCAGAAGTCATTTTTCGGGTTTTGGATAGCCAGTGATTCGTCTGTAGGCGTATTCGAAGGCCCTGCATGTGAGAAGCAATCATACAGTGGTATTCGATGTCCACAGTTAATGAGATGCTTGAGGATAGATCTATTGACATATTTCTTTCCTATTGTAACCCATTGTAAGTTTTGTTATATTTTTGGTGTTACTTTGAAAATATTCTCACCTACTGATTAAGAATCAGATTATATCTACTTCTTGATGTCTTCACGTTATAGAATCAATTAGGCGATGACTAGTCACAAATGGCAAGATATCATGAAGTGTTAGTTTATGAATTTATATTATTAATTACATATTATTTATTTATTTAGTATGCACTACATCTTACTTTTACGAACGTCATCTTGTGTTGTATTTAGAAGTAAAGAGGGGATGATGGTAACTATATGAAGGTGTTATCTGTTGTCATATTATTTGATCACTAAGATGTATGAGTCGAAGTCAAACACTTGCATATACACGAGATTCGTAATTGACTGCATGGGAATACAATACGAATATTTCTTCATATTTTATTGACCCATTCATTAAAAATCAATATCAGCTAGACAAGCATTGGAGAATAGGGAATGCCGAATAGAGTTCCGTTCTATAAATACATGTAGCAATGAACTGGTAATCAACCACTCGATCAGTGAGTCACTACTTAATAATGGGGTTGGCTTTTATTTTTAGAGCTTATACCAAATTTATAGTATTCTATAATTTCATCTTTCTAGTTTCTTTGTTTTTTTTACAAAATGAACTTTCATTTCTTATTTTAGTCTGGCAGTTTGTTACCTTCACCATCGGTGGTGTATATTCATCCTGCTGAAACTTTAAATCGTACTCCGCCAACTGACCAAGATAAAGATATGCATCATTTTCGTGTTGTGTCAAGTGACAAACAAAGAACACCGTTTGCAGACTTAAATAATACATCTGCTGACACTCAACGTTCCAGATTACCGAAACCTAAACACATCAATATGTGAAAGCTGATATTTGCACGATTAACTACAAGATACTTCTGTTATCGTGCTTACTGTTTCATAAATATACATCAATCTATGTGGATAAATGAAGAGTTTTGTTTTCCTCTATCTTAATGGTTAATTAAGATAATTTACAGGAGTTATACGTTATATTTTCCCCAAATTTAAATACGGATTAGTGACTTAGCGTATAGAATGAAAAATGCACCTGTGCAATGTAATATTATTAGTGTGATACAATCAGTGATGATAGTTTGGAGTGTGTAAGTACTTGTCGATTATGCATGAAAAAAGTTGTCACATTCTTTGGGAAGACTTCTGTTATGTAACTTTAGACGGAGGAAAATTTGTTCTCTGAATATATCAACTGGTTAATGGTTTCACATGTTGATCATGGGGAGTAACATAGATTCACTAGCATTTCACATGATCATAACGCAACACGTTAAAAGTAATGATCAGTTCACTAGATTTGTAAGTACCTATATAAATACTGCTACACAACTAATCAGTAAAGCTAAAATATCAATAGATCTGATCATTTCATTTGGTTTTGTAATTACTCTACCAGCATCGAGAAAGACTCTGGCTCCATATACCAAATTTCTAAGTCGAGTCAGGTGAAATAAGTATATGATGAACTGTAATTTACTGTAACTTGCTATCTTCGTGAAAAAATGACTCCTGTTTTCTTGATCTGTCTTCTATATCGTTACAATGTGGGAATAGTATTCAATTTTTCAGTCATATGCCGTCGTGTGTGGAAGTAATATGGGTGAATATAGCAATGGTCTCCTTAGTTCGTGACTGGTCAGGTAGAAAGTATCTCCAATCAAATACTATTCAGCCGCTTTACATATGTTTCGATAGATTCTTTTGAATTGTCGTCAAAATTCCTATTTACGCAGCTAGAAAAAACAAGAGATTCGGCGAAGAAATATGCATTCCTTCTCAATTGGTTCCTCCTCATGATCGGCTGACTCTACACTATTATATAGATTTTTACATCAAAATTGCTTTTACTAATCAAGTGGTTATTTCAGTTAATCAGTTTTAGGTATATGCGAGGGTGGGTGAAATCAAGAGGTTAAAGTTCATCGAAACAATTAACTGATAGGTGTCAGTAACAAGATATCTAAGTTTCAATAAAAGAGAGGTGAAAATTAAATACGGAATTCAAGATGAGTTGATTCTTAGGCATTAGTAACAAGTTATTGCATAATCAAGAAATTTGTAAAATAGCAATGATGACTAAGAAGAATAGGATGATTCAGAGGAATTACGAAAAATACAAACAAGTTAATAGTCTAAATAAAGCAGGAATTAGGGTGGCATTTAAGCCTACAAACTCACTCAGGGACAAGCTCTGTAGGTTGAAGGACCCAGTTGACCCAATTAGACAAAATAATATAATTTACAAAATACCCTGCAATGACTGTGAGGTCAGCTACATAGGTCAAACTAGTAGGTCAGGGGTAGTCAGATTGTCAGAACATAAGAATTTAGCTAAGGTAAGAATGGTTGACCCAGAGAAGATAAGTAATTTAGAAAAAAGCTCGGCAATTGCAATGCATGCATTAGCACACAACCACACAATAGGGTGGGAGAGGGTTAAAATTCTAAAAAGTAATCTAGGTAGGTAGAGAGAGAGGTTGAATCCTTGTTCATCGAATCTACACCCAACACATGCAATAGAAATGAATCATCACTCATACCCGAAATATGGAAAATATTACTACCAATCAAATCAAGTGAAAAACAACGGAACTATATAAATGAATTTAGGAAGTCGTGTGATTACCTTGATATGATTTTGAGCAATAAATTGTGCTCGAAACGTGGTCATCAGTAAACATTACTGTATAACACTGTGAGACTTTATCAAAACAAAATTTACCCATAATGGAATTGCACTCTACCACAGTGCACAAGTTTTATTCTGATATCAATTAATAGAATTAGCTCAAGTCGTAAAAATTGTAAAAGTTACTAAGTGAAAAGATGGCTACAAGGGGAGGGAAAAAATCGGTTTTTAAAAACTTAATACATATTATGTATAGTTTGGTTTGTAAGGATTAGTTATGTTTTAGGAGTTGATCACGGACTGATATGAGTTAGAAAACCATTGAAAACCAGGGAGTACTGGACAGCTGCTGTTTCATCCTAATTTGGGAATCATCGGCAGTACGCACCCACCACCAGGGTTCGAACCCAGGACCTTCCGGTTACAAGGCAAGCTGGCTCGTGTACCATTCAGCCACTGGGACCCGATTCAATGGCTCATGAATTCTAACTTCTACCAATTCGTGATTTTAGCGCAACCCCAACTATTGTCGTTGGTGGGACATCCATCCACACACGTGACTTTTAATTGGACCTCACTGGTCACGACTTCTCACTAGAACTCCAGGAAGCTCCAACGTGTAGCAAGTCACTAGCGAGAATCAGAATAATTTTCTATAGTTTGGTTTGTAAGGATTAGTGGGTGCGTACTGCCGATGATTCCCAAATTAGGATGAAACAGCAGCTGTCCAGTACTCCAGTGCTGGTTTTCAATGGTTCTCTAACTCATATTAGTCCGTGATCAACTCGTAAAACATATTATGTAGTTGGCCATGGTAAAGAAATGAGCTGTACAAATTTCTTTTGAACTGACGCATAGATTTGGCTTGTTCAGATGAATTCCGATCGCCTCTGCTGTATGCAAAAGTCGTACTAGTGGACCAAGCAAGAGGTAATAATTTCCAAAGCTTTGTTAGAGTCCATGAATTCCAACTTTTGCCAATTCACGATATGGTGCGACCACCAGCCACTTTCGTCGGCGAGGATTTGTCCTCAAACTCTAGCTCACCTTGTAACCTGAAGCTCCTGGATCTGAAACTCGGTGGGTGGGTACTGATGAAGATCCAGTCCCAAGCTAGGATGAAACAGATGTCTAGTACTCCCAGGTTTTCCAATGGTTCTCTAACCGATGTGAGCTCATGATGAAATCCTGTAACCAATCAAATTATATCCCTGCAAACCAACACTTGAAAAGCTGTTTTCCTTATAAAACTGTTAACTTGTATAATTCAGTTTGTGTGCATCTGATGAGACACCGATGAGATGAAATGCAACCGCTATATCCCACTCCACACACTAATATTGCTTTGTTCAAATTAAATCTGGGTAAATCTCCTATGAAATATTGAATTACGAGGATAATATTTTCACTCAGATCAAGAAAGATTGATCTCTGAACCCGTTAGTTTACAGCTTGTGAACAATGACTATAGTCATCATTTATGAATTAACATGTTTTCGACTCAATAAGCAACACATAGTTTAAGTGTTTATGGATGACAAGCTGATAATAAAGTGCTAACATATCACTATTAATCATATGTAATCAGTATTTGTAAATATGCAATGTACATTGAACCTATGAACTTTAGTTTGAACGCACTCACCCAATTGTTGGCACTTCTTCCTCTTTCGATTCGTGACTCTACTGTACATTTTTTGTTTCGCTCTCTCGTTGTGCAATCATTCCAGCGCACTCTCCGAGCCTACCACAGTCAAGGCAGCAGATAAGTGTATAACCTCTTATTTTTATCAAATTTCATATCTCATTTGTGTAAAATATAACTCTGTTCCAGGCACACTTGCCATCTCGAGTCTTTTTACCTCGATTCAGCTCGTTAGTACTTGCACGTTAGGCGGAGTACAGCTAAGGTCAGAAAGCGGTGAATAAGTTTTGTACGGGTGTTTGTTTTAGGTCTACATTAAGCTAAGTCTAACTCCTACAAGTGGTGAGCCGGTGTTTTCACCGTTTGCCTCCTTAGTAGCTTCACATGTTAATAGTTCCTTTTCATATTGACTATTTTGTTTATTTTTCACATAGAGTTAGAAAAAAGTTTTCTTGCCTTGCTTTTACTTGTATTTGTTGTTATCGCTCTGTTAATGTATCGTCTTGTTCTCATGATGGCCGACAACAGTTCTGCTTCACAAATGGCTGTCACCTTGTAACTCCTCACCTTCTGTACACATTGTCCTGCTGCATGGTTCGGTCACGTAGAAGCTCTGTTCGCCCTCAGACACATACATTCCCAAGGAACCAAGGTTAACCTGGTAATTGTGAGTCTTCCAGAGAATGTCCTGGAGGAGGTGTCTGATGTTCTCGATGACCCGTCCCCCGACTTGTATGGGCGTCTCAGGCAGGCAATAATCAGGTGCGTTGCACTCACTGACCAACAGAAAGTGCAGGAGCTTTTTGGAGATGTTCAGATCGGTGACAGAACACCCACTCAAATGTTGCGACAAATGAAACAGTTAGTTGTGGAGTTCAACACAGATGATGCCTTCATAAAACAAGTTTGGTTACAGAGATTGCCTCAGGCAATTCAGGGCATTTTAGTCCCGATCTATAAGTCCCCTTTATCGGAACTAGCCGAGGAAGCCGTTAGAGCGGTGGAAGCTACTAGATCCAACATGATCATTTCGGCTGCGGCAAACGATAGTCCCGCTCAGCCCAAAGATTCTTCGGCAGGGGGGTCATCAAGCTTAGATGTGGTGGCCTACACAGCTAAGCCTTATGAGGAGATATGTAGTATAAGACGGGAGATGAGATCTAGAGATCGCTCGAGTAGTCGCCCCAACTCGACTCGTAGTAGATCTTCACGTGCTAGCAGTGGGCGTCGTAAGTCTCGAAATTCCTAGCCTGGAGTGTTCTGGTATCATCGGCGTTATGGTGACAAGTCCCAAAAGTGTACTCGACCTTGCACTTTCGATGTCCAACAATCGGGAAACTAGCAGGCCAGCACGTATTGGCGACTAACGTCGCTGACGAACCACTCCCATGTCGCCATGAACATGGACATCAAATCGACTCTAACAAGGCTTTCAAAGTTATTTACCTATGTCACCCAACCTCTCGCCTCATGATCTACTAGTACGACTTTTGCATACAGCAGAGGCAATCGGAATTCATCTGAACAAGCCAAATCTATGCGTCAGTTCAAAAGAAATTTGTACAGCTCATTTCTATACCATGGCCAACTACATAAT